TATCATCATTATCAATGGTCGTAGTGGTAGTAATAGTAGTAGTAGTACAAACACAACTGCGCAGAAAAGTACAAATACATCCTCACACGGGTCACATTTACACTCACACAGCTTGATTCCCTACGCTTAAGCAAAGTCAGTCACTGACCTGCATTCTTCCCTATTCTCTCATTACAACTCAAAAATTATACAGCTTCCACTGTATAATTGGAAGAAAGAAAGAAAGAAAAAAATATATATATATAAGTATATATATTGCAGTGTATAGAATATACTGCAGTGTCACCTGTATACAGTTAATTAGATTTAACTGTATTATAGCAATTAACATACACGACAGTAAAAACATGAATAATCCATATACAAGGTTTCTACATGCGCTTTCGGTAATATTCATAGTTGGCGAGAACAATCATTCCCTTCTAGAAAAGCATGGAAGTTCTAAGTCAAGGAGGCTCGGAAATTGTCAATCATAAGTGCACATTTCATTTCTCAATATGCAAAACAATTTGAACCGTAGATAGTAGCAAGAGAGAACGAACAAAAAACTTTAATGTTTTCGAAACGGCTGGATATCATCTCCCTGAGAAGAACAAACTTTACTACTATGTCAAGGTTTAAAACTGGTGAGGGAGATCGAAGCCAAGATTGAAACACGACACAGGAGCTACGAAACGGCTTCGGGGTAATAGGAACGTATCCAGAAGACAGTACAGTACAGAGGATGATAATATTCACAGAGAACTGAATGATGGTGATGATAATAATGAAAATAAAACGACGATAGTGTAGATAATGAGCATGATCATAGAAATAATAACATCAATGATTATGATAAAGATATGACATGATGATGATGATGAAAGCAGCCTTTAGCCCTTTGGTTCTCTTTTGATGATACTCTAGATGATATAGCCTCCCGAAGTATAAAGGAAACTTATGTTTATACCCAGATATATATTTACAAACGCTACAGATCGAGTGAACAAAGAATGTAGCTGATCTAGCCTTGAGTGAACGTGATGTAACAGTACACAATTGAAGAGCATCAGTCTGTGGCGTCGAGAGCTGTGGCACGGAGATGAACACTTGGTCAGCTAGCGGTAAAAAAGACAGAAGGGTACTTGGGTATTTTATATTTATTCCTTTATGGACTGTCGAGAAGACCGGAGCTAAGTGACCTTGCTTCGGTGGCGGTGCCCTTTATGCTCAACAGAGTGAAAAAAGAATGAGAGGGTGAACCGGTGGAGAGGCCAACAAAGCCTCTGAGTGTTAGTGGCTATGTTCAAGGAAATGACAACAACGGTGAAAAGGTAAAATAGCAGAAGCGTCTCAACCAATCCCTGAGAATTACTGAATACCAGGGCTGTCAATCTAGTAATACCGTTTGGTAATCCAGTGCCATTTAACGTGGCGATGACGTATTAATGAGTCGATAAGATATGACGTCTGATTGATAAGGTGTGATATCCGGATCGGTAGATGATAGATATCAGAAGTGACAGGATAATTGTTTATATAAAGTAAGCAAAGATATACTAAATATATCGTTTAGTTTGTTTGCCCTGCTAATATCACAAAGGATATATATCAACACAATTGCCTTGATTGGACCACACAGTACTGACAACGGAAATATAAAGCTAGAAGCGGAATTTCCATAAGCAATCTGTAGTAAAACAGTACTTTCTGAAGGTATTAATAGCATGAAACGGTTATTGAACTAGAATGACAGTGATTTTTTAAGCCGACATCAGTATTTTTTTATATAACCGACAAGAGAACAAATATTTTTTATAGCGGCTCTTGGGATAACTGTTGACATCACATAGTCCTATTCACAAATCCTCGACTATTTCTATGCAAATTTATTTTCACTAGCATTTTATATTAATTTCTGTCGGCAAATCTGAAATACTCCAGAATACGATTATTACATGATGTACACAATGGCTTTCAGAGAATATAACAGTTGCGATATCACAATTTCAGGGTCAGTCACTAACCAATCGCAGCACATCCAGTAAACACGAGTCCGCTCTCGCGACTTCTCTGTTGAATAATGTTCATTACTAGCCGCAAGATGTATATGGAGTCATGCAGTGAATATGTCCCCAGCCACATTGCAATCAGAAGGAATGAGCTAGTTGACAGATAGACTAGCTGTAATTGGCGGGGGATATGCCCCCCAAAACCATGATCTATCTACAAAGCCACATGACAGTCCCCTGCTCTGCAATTACATGGAGAGAAAGTGAAAACCTTGCTGTTGCAAGCACTTTGGTGAGCCGGATGCCACCCTAATGCACTATCTACAGAGGTGCGAGCACGATTTTCTAAGACAGGGACCACCCACCATAGTTGTCGAGCTGGTGAGAAATCATGCCTCTTGCTTGTGCCTGTTGCCAGTCGGGGCCACCACGGTGAGCATTCAGTGATGGTAAAGCAGTTGAGACAGCTCTAAATAGCTGACACAAGCCGGGCAACATATATGTAAGACCAAGGCGAAGCTAGCCTCTCGCTGAACTGAACTACCTGAATGAATTCAATGATAATCCTTATTTTATTTAACAAAATTCTGTTGAATGAGTTACGTGTCACCACCATCATCATCAGGGCCATAATGCCAGGAAATGAGAAGGCGTTTGAGTCATGAAGACGTTTGTGTGTAGATATGTGTGTGTATAAATATATACATATATATATATATATATATATATATATATATATATATATATATATGTAAATTCATATAAAAAGGTATATACATATACATACATATATGTTTATAAAATGTGTGTATATATATATATATATATATATATATATATATATATATATATATATATATATATATATATATATGTATGTATATGTATATGGAAGGCAGATGAATATGCATTATTTCCAGAACTGCAAAAAGTACTGAAAGGGTAGCAAAAAACACTAATAGCCCCGCATTACCGTCCTTGAGTTCTCTAGCGACACTGATGAAAAGATATGCAAGCCAAATGAAAGCCACCAGACTGAGTAATGTGTGTATCAAATTTAGTGAAATTTTCATTTGGCAAGACTTCATCAGTTCCCCACGCAGGTTCTGTATTACCCTTTTCACACACACACACTACACACACACATACACACACATTACACACATTACACACGCATTACACACACACTACACACTACACACACAGACACACACACTCTCACACACACAGACACACGCACACACAGACACACACACATACACACACATTACACATACATTACACACACACATGTATGTATGTATATACACATCATAAATATAATTATAAATATACATATACATATAATGTATATCTATAATCATATATATACAATAATATATATAATTATATATATAATCATATATTTATGATTATATATATATTCATATACAATCACACTACACACACACACTACATACACTCACACACACACACATATGTATGCATGCTTGTATGTGTGCACGCGCAAGTTTGTGAGTGTGAAAAATAAACATACATCCGTGTTGTCCTTTGGGGAAGAAGCTGCAAGCAGCCACTGAAGGAAAGGGGAGAAAGACAGAAAGGAAAACTTTACAAGGATCCCGCGATGCGAAGGAGGTGGAAAGAAATGAGAGAAAAGTTTAAAGTTTAGGGTTGGAAAAGCAATTATGGGATGGTGTAAAGGGGAAGAAGAAAGCAAGGGGGAGTAGAGAAGAAACAAGAAACGACAAAATGGGTTAAGGAGAATTAAAGGGAAAAACGTTGAAATTACATATAACAGAATAAAATATGAAAATACTAGGCGTAGTGTTAAGCAAAATAGGGACTTGCCTAATTGGTTGTTGATAGTGCATAGGCTACGATGCTGTTATAGTTTTGTTTCTTTTCCCCAAATGAGAAAGAAAGAAAAAAAAAACGGTAACAAACTATCGGAACACAAAACGCTTCTCGCAAAATAGCATCCCCACGTGCTTAAAGTTCAGAGTTTGAATGTTCAGCATCGGGATCCAATAGCCTTAACGGTATCCGAGGGAACGAAGATCCTTTGTACGACAAATGGAACCCTCCGAAACTAATCGTTAAAGTTTGCCGCGTTGGATGAGGTTCATTAGCCGGTTTGTCGGAGCTTTCACTCGGAGCTTTGAAGCCCCGCCGGCTGAGCTCGAGGCCGACGAACTCAGCGACCGACCGAAGAATAGAACGCTTGTCCTCTTTATAAACGTGCTGTAAAAGTAGTGGAGGTTGATATCAATGGTATATTTCGTGATTCAACTACCGGGGTTTCATTGCAAGCGCAGGCGTTTACATTTTCAGAAAGGAACCAGCTGTTTCCGAACGGTGATAGTGGTTAAGGACCCTTCAATATTGAGATGAGACAAAATACCTCTTCTTCAAATAGTGTTTAGTGTCACGAGGCCAAACACAGCAACTGACTGATGAATAAAGAGCTTAACCTGTTCTTCATAAGCGTTCTATAAAAGTAATGGAGGTTAATGCTCTTAAATATTAAATGCTTACTTCCTGATTCAAATACGTATTAAGTGCAGACGCAGGCGTTTATAATATCAGGAAGGAATCGACTATATTCCCAAATATGAACATATGAATCTTTCACACAGTGCTCAGCCTAAATACATCCTCACGCGGTTATTGTTTTAATTGTTTTGGCATTATAAACAGTTGTAGAATAATGAACTCCTTTATGCGTCAATATTAAATGAATCTCGCTCAAATGCTAGGACTGGAGCATTGTCGCCTATAAACACTTGTCATTGTTTATATTTCTTGAGAGGTTGAATAAATATATAGATAAATATGTGTGTGTGTGTGTGTGTGCGTGCGTGCGCGTGCGTGCGCATATATATGCGCACACACAAACATATACACATATATATGAGTGTGTGAACACACATATGTGTACATACATACATATATATATACATATACATATATATATATATATATATATATATATATATATATATGTTACTGCAGGGACAAAATGTATACTTAGTTATAAACAATCAGTTCCTATGCTTTGTGATATTACTAACATTAGGTTAAGTATGAAATAGATGAGTATACCCTCATATCGTTTTCTAAGGTGTACGACATCTATAGGGCATTTGCATAACTAATCATCATAAACATTGGGAGCCATTTTGTTACTCAGAGAAGCCAAGTGAGGTGTCTGAGGTAATATATCTGCTTATATCTTTGTAATCTTGTGATATATTTTTATATTAGTATAAGTAAATGATCTATTGTTATATAAAGACCTAATTGAAGGAGAATGTAATATGAATATTGAGCTATATTGTGTGAAATAAGAGTTTTATGTCAAGCATGTATTAGTGGAAGATTTGTTCATTTCAGTTTAACGGAGATAATTGGGAAATAATTGGACTAGAAATGGATGGTAATGAATTGCATGTAAAAAGAAGAATTCAAGATGTATCGAAGATGCAATAAAGTACCACAAAAAGATCCCAAGCGTTTCCAGTGAAACCCACCGGTTCTTGGCTCTCTGCAACAGTTAAACTCATACACCTGTATGAAGAGAAGAGGTAGATTTACTGAGCTCAGTTAAACTCAGTTAAACATATCCTCATGAGTTCAGGTAAACTCATACACTTGTATGCAGTTGAAATTAGTTGGGTTCAGTTAAACTCAGCCCACAACAGTTAAACTCAGCCCACAACAGATGGATACACTGAGTTACAGTTAAACTCATCGCATCAGTTAAACTCAAGACCTGCATGCAGTTAAAAATGCAAAAGTTAAGATCAGTCCAGAACTACAGTTAAACTCACATCCTCATGAGTTCAGATTCAAGACCTCCTGTAAGCAGCAGTTACATACATCAGTGGGGATGCTCGTGAGAGGATTCACATCTATCAACCCATCTTGCAAGATAATTCAAGGTCAAGAAGGATAGAAGAACGGTGTGAATGTTCGTGGGAATCCAAAGGCAAGAGGATAACCTATAAATTACTGGAAGATTTCTGCTCTTTAAAGAAGCTCTTCATTTCTACAGGTCCCAAAGGCTAGTGAACTTTTAACTAATAGGTATAGATTGTGTGTTTTAAGTTCCATATAGGTCAGTAGACAAATAGTAGTTGTAATAATGAGTGCTACTGAAGAAGCTGTAGGTGACCAACCTCAGGTAACCAGTGAGGTAATGAAAGGTGCTAGGAAAAAGGTTTTAACAGAAAAAGGGCGTGAGTATCAAACAACACAGTATATAAAGAGGTTATCATCTGCTAAGCTAGCATGGAAAAAGGTATTATCAGAGATATTACCAAGTCTTGATAGTGTAGTATGCTTGGATCAACTTAATGTTCATAGAAAGGCAGAAGAGTCACAGTTTAAAGAAGTTGTAAATGCCTTTAACTTGTTAATGGAAGTAGATCCAAGTTCTGAGGATGAATTGTTACAAGAGTTAAAGTTTGAGACTGAGGAGCACAATAATTGTATGCAAAAAATTGAGAGTAAAATGCATGAGTTAAAACAAGAAACAAATTCAGTAAATTCACAACAAAGTAGATCATCAAAGCACTCCCATTCAACAAAGAGATCTATGCATAATGTTACACAGAATGAAAGAATACAAGCAGAATTAGCTAAGCTACAAATTGAGCTTCAGCTTCATAAAAAGGAAACAGAGTATAAGATGTTCGTGATAAATCAACAGAGGATCATGAAAGAAAAAGAATATGAGTACAAAAAGTTTCTTTTTATGAGAAATAGGTTTCCATCTCAAAAAGAAGTAGAGAAAGCCAGTCTAGAAGAAAATCAGCTAGAATTGTCTCAAAGTAAAGATCTAGATGATAGTAAAGAACTTCATCTTCACAAATATTTTGAATCTATTGATAAATTGACAGAGGTTGAGAAAGTAAATCCTACTTTACCAAAACAAGAAACAGCTGCTAATGATGTATCAGGTATGGGTGAATTAGAGATAGAGGTGTCTAAATTAGAGAATACCTTCTTAAAGGCAAGTCCAGAGCTTAAGCTACAAACAAAGAGTTTTGAGCCAAAAAGAGAGTTTCAAGATTTGAATGCATCATTTGGGCAAGGTAGATCAAGTCAACCTATAGACCTTAATGTACTCAAAGATGTATTAAATATTTTATCATCTAAAAGTAAAAGTGAATTGCCTAAACTAGAACCAGAAATTTTCAGTGGAGATTTATTGGAGTTTCCAACCTGGCTTCAAACCTTTGAGATTTTTATAGAATCAAGAGTTACAGAACCTGCAGAGAAACTTTTCTATCTAGGTCACTATACAAGTGGGGAAGCTAAGGCTGCCATTAAAGGACTTCTTCGTATCCCCAAAGAAGAAGCTTATCTTGAGGCTAAAGGTATATTAATAGATAGGTTTGGAAATAAGTTCATTGTGGCAAATGCTTTTAGAAGTAAATTAAATGAATGGCCAAAGATTTCAAATAAGGATGGTCATGCACTACAGGAATTGTCAGACTTCTTAAAGAATTGCTTAACAGTAATGAGTACAACAGACTACCTTAATATTTTAAATGATCCTCAAGAAAATGGTAAAATGTTACAGAAGTTATACCCAGCTCTTATAGATAGATGGAATTCTGTAGTTTACAAATGGTCCTCAAGTGATGCAGGTTACCCTCCATTTTCAGTTTTTTGTGAATTTATAGAAGTGGAGGCAAAGAAAGCTCGCCATCCAATCTCATCACAAAATGCAGTAATGACAAGGAATCAGAGTCATAATATCAATGTTTCAATGAGTAGTAAGAAGGGTAAACCAGAATTAAACAAGTCTGGGACAAAAAGGTTTGTGACTAACTCAACAGGTGTAAAAGAAACAAAGGTACATAGAGATGACAGGGGACAAAGTCCAGACAAACCATATTGTAATTTTTGCAAGGCTGATCATGAACTTGATAAATGTAAAGGGTTTAATGGACTTGATAATAAGGCAAAATTTGAATATGTCCAAAAATCATTTCTTTGTAGGGGTTGTTTAAAACATGGCCATATTGTTAAAAACTGCAAAAGAAAGAATATATGCACAGTATGTAAGAGACGTCATCCAACATCTCTTCATGAGGCTATACTTGAAAGAATAAAAGAAAGGGAAGCCTTACTCAAAATGTATAAGGAACAAGAGGCTGGAAATACAGTAACATTGTCAAATGAAACTAATATAAATGAAGACAAGGTAAACTCCAGCAAAGTTAATGAGGAACTCAAAGATTGTGCAGTTTCCAATAAAATAAAGATATTGAGAAAATCAGAGGATATGATGCATTCCATGATAGTACCAGTATGGATACATCATGAAAGTAACATACGTAAAAAGGTATTGGTTTATGCATTATTGGATGAACAGTCAGATGCATGTTTTATTAAAGAATCCACCATGAATGAGCTAAACATTCTAGGCTCCAAGGTACACCTAAAGTTAACAACAGTGACTGGCGAAGAAACAATTGAAAGTACAAAGACTAGAGGACTAATAGTATGTGGTAAAAATGAAAAGATAGAGATTGCACTTCCAGTCACTTATTCAAGGAAGAATATACCAGCCAGACATGATCAAATTCCAAGGCCAGAAAGTGTAGAAGGGTGGCCTCATTTACAGAGAGTAGCAAACGAATTGATGCCATACGATAGAAGTGTTGAAGTTGGGCTCCTGATTGGCTTAAATTGTATCCGTGCCATCAAACCAAGAGAGTTAATTCCTGGGAAAGATGACGAGCCTTACGCAAGGAGAACTTTGCTTGGTTGGAGTATAATAGGGAGAGTCAATGGTGATTGTCAAGACACAAGTGACTCAGATTCAGTTGTAGCTAGCAAAGTAATAGTCAATAAGGTTATCATTAATGGTGACACAAAATGTAGCTTTCTTTCCTCACCAACTAAAGTAAAGGAAATAATTGATTTTGCACAAGTTCGAAAATTGTTTGAGCTTGATTTCAGTGAAAGGGAGACAGGAAATGTTCCTTTTTCGTATCAAGACAAGATTTTCTTAAGAAAAATGAAAGATGGAATTCATCAACTAAAAGATGGGCATTATGAATTGCCACTCCCTCTTAAAGATGATAAGGTCAAGTTTCCAAATAGTAAAGAATTAGCAATGTGTAGGTTGATGAGTCTAAAGAGGAAGCTAAAGCAAAAGAATGGTTTTCTACAGGACTATGTTGCCTTTATGAAAGATCTCATAGACAAAGGCTATGCAGAAGAGGCACCATACCAGGGTCCAAATTTCAATGATGGAAGAGTATGGTATATACCACATCATGGTGTGTATCATCCAAAGAAACCTGACAAAATTAGGGTAGTATTCGATTGCAGTGCTGTGTATAAGAATGAATCACTTAATAAGAATCTTTTACAAGGTCCGGATCTGACAAATAACTTGATTGGCGTATTGTGCAGATTCAGAAAGGAACATGTAGCAATTGCATGTGATATAGAAGCAATGTTCCACCAAGTAAAGGTAAAGCCTGATCACAGAGACCTACTACGCTTTCTGTGGTGGGAAAATGGAAATCCTGATTCAACTGTCAAAGAATATAGAATGACAGTGCACTTATTTGGGGCTACATCTTCTCCAAGTGTAGCAAGTTTTGCACTGAAAGCCACTGCTGATGATTATGCATGGCAATGTGGAACAGAAGCTGCCTCCTTTGTTAAAAATGAATTTTATGTAGATGATGGGTTAACATCTTTACCTACAACTGCAGAAGCCATAGCTTTAATCAGGAATAGTAAAGCATTATGTTCGAAGGGTGGCTTCAAATTGCACAAGTTCTTGTCAAATAAGAAAGAAGTTCTAGAAGCAATAAGTTTAGAGGAAAAGGCTAAAAGTTTAAAGAACTTAGATCTTTCTAGTGAAGCCTTACCAATAGAGAGAACTTTAGGAGTAGAATGGTGTATAGAATCAGATACGTTCCAGTTCAGAATTAGTATTAATGACAAACCAATAACTAGAAGAGGTATATTGTCAACGGTGAGTTCTGTTTTCGATCCAATGGGTATGGTCTCACCCTTTATATTGATTGGTAAAAGAATACTTCAAACCTTGTGTCAAGATGGAGTAGACTGGGATGATGACATATCAGATAATTTGAAACAACAATGGAGAAGATGGAGAGATGATCTGATTCAGTTGAAAGAGTTATAGATTCCTAGATGCTACAAGCCTGATGTGTTTAGAAAGGTCAAATCATTGGAACTGCATCATTTCTCTGATGCTAGTCAGCATGGTTATGGACAGTGCTCTTATTTAAGGCAAGTAAGTGAGCAGGGACAAGTTCATTGTGCACTTGTCATGTCAAAGTCTAGAGTGACACCATTGAAGCCCATAACTGTTCCTAGGTTAGAACTAACAGCTGCAGTCGTAGCTGTTCGAATTAGCTCTATGTTAAGGAAGGAGTTAGGTTATCAGGAAGTAAAGGAATACTTTTGGACCGATAGCAAAGTCATACTTGGCTACATTTCAAATG